ATCGTCGACCTCATCGTCACTTTCCATCAGGTGAGATGGAGTTCAAATGCGTACTTATTTTTAATAAATAAAAAAATACTAGGTTATATTGTGAATTTTTTTATGAACTATCATAGGGATCATCCTAGATTAGTTTTAGTTTAAGATGCCTTACTACTATCTACTGAAGCGTGAAACACACAGAGAGCGGGTGCGGGTCGGGCACGAGTCGGGTCGGAAGCGCGACGGGACTAATTCCGTGTATTTATTAGACGACATCACACCAAACGCTGGCGCTTGCACCGGTCTCGCTTCCGCGCGTGGCGTGTTATCGTCCATATAAATACACGGAATTAGACCCGCCGCGCTCCCGACATGCGCCAGCACCCGCTTGTGTTTCACGTTTAAATTTGGCTTAGACTTCATCTGGCTTCATGCGACTATAAGTATCAAAATCACATCACGTCATTCCTTTGTAGGTGTGTTTCAGCCCCGCCGGAGGAAGTCTTCTCACAGCGTCAGCTGACAGGAGTGCTAGGATCTGGAATACCACTACTGGCAATTGCATTCAGGTATACAACGTATAATAATATACATTTACAGTATCTACAAGCAGTGGTTGTGTTGTGTAGTACTAGTAGAGGTGATTACCACAGCCCGGTTTACTGGGTCGGTTCCTGAGGTAGGTGCGCGGTGCGGGAGGAGTGACAGGTTACGTAACAGTTACGTCGCGCTGCACACGGGATAATTTCAACTAGTTTTTTCTGACGATATTCAATAACAAGTTTGTATGGGAACGAAGTTAACAAAATGGACAGGATCCATACATCTGCAGGATAGACGTATAGCTATATAGGATAGCTCCACGAGGAGTCGTATAGCGATTCCTTTTGGGAGATGAGAACCGTATCTACAGGTTTACACCGTCAATGCCAAGCACTGAACAAAGCACCACGTACCTTGATTTGGTTGATGAACACAGGAACAGCTGGCTCACGGCGGCTAGCCGCCGGTGTCGCGTGCCGCGATTTGAGTGACATCTAGATGTGAGGATAGTTTGATCCGAGGGCCTCGGGCTTTGGGTTATGGACAAGTTCACGATATGTATGTTTAGTACCAGGTTTGACGGGCTCGTGGGATATCGAAAGGGCTCGAAATAACGGCTTGTAGTGCTTACGCCCGCCAAGCGGCGCCTTTGTGAATGACGTATGTGGCGTTGCAAATGTTAAACGAAGAACTTACACTTATTATGAAAACAGTACAAAGTTGATTGAAAAATGTGCCTACCAAATTATTCAATTGCTGTTATGTGAGACAATAATAAAAAATATATATCATTGATAATTGAAACGAATAGACAAGCTATTCCATAAATAATAATATTATTGTCTTACTTCCCAGGTGCTCTCGGGTCACGGCGGTGAGATATTCTCATGTGCGTACTCCTATGCGGGTGACGCAATCATCACCGCTTCCAAGGACAATACCTGCCGAATCTGGAGGTGATTCGACTGGTGGCTGCAGATGCAGGACTCGCAGGACAGCTTGTAAACTGCTTGTGCCTGATGTTAATTATCCACCAAACCGAAGAGAAGATATCTATTTAACTGGTGTCAGCATTTTCATTAAGCGTAAAGGGCGCAATAAATATATATACAGGTTGTCCCACGGCGGTCTGCGACACAGAAGGGCAGTAAATCAATACCTCCCAAGCACGTAAGTTGTTCTAAGTCGAAATACCATTTTGTGTTTTTTCATTTAAATATATTATCCTTTTTTTATTTATATTAGTTCCATGTTTAAAAGTAAACATAACACTAAGCGATTTCTTTACTGTTAAATATGGAACCTACAATATGCAAAACAAGTATATATTTGACTTAAACAGTAAAAAAATATATTTTCACTTACAACAACTTACGTATGAGGTATCGAAATATTATAGATAGGACATGTTTCTTCAAGGTGACATTATTTTCAAGTAAGCAATACGGCATTGAAATTTTTTTGAAATTGTTTAAAAATACGAGTCAGGCTTTTGGGAATCAAACCGACCAAATGAGAAAACCAAAAACATCTTGTACTTTTAATGATGTCGATCAAACTGGTCAATTATAAGAATTAAAATATTTCAATTGTAGTGCTACTCAGAGCCTTAGATCGTAAAGGTCTGAGGGGCAATGCCACTGCGCCAATCACCGTGAGACGTAAGTTGACAAGTTTAGTAACAAGAAAGTGAAAGAATTCGTCAAAGGTAGTACTGTAACCTTACCTACTTCTACCGCCAAGCAGTGACGTCAGCATTACTTGTGTTCCGGTTTTTGAACGGTAAGGGTGCTGGTGAAATTACAGGCACAAGGGACTTGTCAACTTATGTCTCAGGGTGACGGGCGCAGTGGTAGTGCCCCTCAGATCTTTACAATTTAAAGCTCTGAGTGGCACTGCAACTGTTATGGACAGGCGTGTAACTTACCATCAGGCACCCGACTTGTTCGTCTCGTCCCTGGATGTTATAAAAAAAAGTCCCATGAAATATTTTTTCCGGATTTAAATCGCATATATTCGTTTTTTAAACAAACCAACGTTTCGGGACCCTTACAGGTCCCATGGTCACGGTTGACTGACTATGGGACCTGACAAATATACGCGATTTAAATCCGGAAATATTGTTTCATTTCCTATGTGTAAAAATTGCGAAAACCTGAGAACTCAATAAGTCCCACGTGCCTGTAATTGCACCAGCAACTTTAGGCACCCATCAAACCGGGAACGCAATAATGTGAGCATTACTTATTATTAACCATTAAATAATGTCTCCATGAACGATGACGTAAACACATAGAAAAATTCGTGAGGTCCGCTGGTTCGTTCCGTGGCTCAGTCAGACACGGTATGCTAGAAGACTTCGGTTGGAAATCCGGCCGTGACGAAGGAATTTTTTCTGAGTGTTCGATCTTTGTTTTGACGTTAATAGTAATGTCTCCATGAATCAAAATATTCATCCTATGTACAATATTTAAAGTACTTTCTCTCCAAATCGCATAGCCTTGGGCAGCCTGTATATCAAAATAATTAAATCGTATTGGCTGATTGAATTTCTTCTCCAGCTTTGGTGGACAATGGCCCACAAAGGAAAACCGAGTAGTAACCATAACAATGTCATTTTTTAAGACGTTTCTTAATTGTTTGGTTCACAGATACTTTTCGCGAAAATTTTTTTGTTTATTTATTATGTCATTTCGACAAAATTTTTAAATTAAGTTTAAATTAAATCACTTTATTATTGAAGGTGTAGTACAGAGATACAATTGTCAAAATTCTTTACTGAAAAGTGACCATTACAATGTTCATATAAGGTCTGAATAAGCATTAAAGTACCGGCACGCTATGATGGCCGTTTTGACGTTTATCCGTTCATAAAGTTTCGTATTCATTCCTTAGAGGATGGAAAAAAATAATGGAAAGGAGCTATATTTAATATCTACGGAATAAACCTACTTACCTTAACCAAAATTGTACCACATATATGGCGGATTTAGTGTTGTACCATAATCATAGATAAGTCAATATCGACATGCAAATGTATGGTTTGAATGTTGAAACTATTTTTTATGTATGTAATTTGTATAGTTTACTGTAATGAAAGTATGATTAATTAAAATATATCAATATTCCATTTGGGAGTGTTTTATGTCATAAATATTGGAATATCCGGAAATGTCATATGAGATTTTAAAGTTATTATTTTAACTTCGTTTTAAACAAACATGGGTTTAATATTTTAATCTCCAGCTGTCCATGTCCGAAATAACATTTGTCCGAATTTTCATTACACCGAAAACCGAATTATAACGAAACAGTTGTTCTTTCAGGATATGTTGAATGTTTATCGCAAAATCACGATTAGGTTCAGTTAGGTTAGGTTAAGTTAGGTTTAAAAGAAAAAACATTTTCCTCTCAAAATAACTATCGAGGTTATGAAATTTCGACCAAACGTTATTTCTGGAATATGTCATTTCGGACTACTGATAGGTAACAGTAATGAGCCATTTTAATCAAAATTAAATATAAAGTTAACTACCAATAAATGTAACGATGGAATTGCATTATCATGTAATCTGGTTACATTCAAAGTTCTATTAAAATTTGACTATTCAAAATGGAGCGAATAAACGAAGATTGTATTTGGTCCATTGTTTATGTTCGGCAGTCCTATAATTTCCAACCATATTTTTTTTTCTTTTTTCATTTGTAGGTAAACTTTAAAAATAAAAGCCTCGTAGTGAATAACACAATATCGATAATATGTCTGCTTACAAGAACAACACTATCTCAAAATAATCGCTATCAACAATCTACAAAATATACTTACAAACAGGCAATCTAAAGTAGCCAAATAAAAATTCAGCAAGACTTACGAATAAACTATTTAAATGAGTCTAATTACATGAGATATTTGGGCTATTGTATGAGTTATAGACAGAAAAACACATGCCGGTGTAATGTAACATTCGGTCGATTTCCGCTTTTCCTACTGCCGCACCCCTTAATGCTGCAACGACGCATTTTCATCAATACTTAATTGTCCTCACTGTCAATATTTTTGTCCATTTCATTACAATTCATGCGAATAATTCACTAAAACATTTGGCGAAACATTGGTTTTGACATTTGATGTACATCCCTTTGATAACCGGATACGGATGTCAAAGGGTACTCCAAAAATGGCAAAATCAATACCGTTGGCATTTAAGATGCCGTTACGTATTTTCGATTCGCGTGTTTGACACAAAACAATTTAATGCTATCTCTTTTAGGTTACGACGACACGCAGTAACTAAAGACAATAAAATGTTTACGTTTTCAACGTCAAAATGCATCATATACATATAACGTGTGATTTATTAATCTTAGATTAGTTTCCATAGTCTAAGATTAATTCATAACTACGTTGAAAGAGCTATAGTAGCTGTACGTTGTTATCAATAATGACGTTTACCGCACCACCTTGGCATTTGTTTCGAAATTCGAAATTTTTAAAAATGAAATCTAATGCGATCGTCACTTATAGGATCGCTGACCAGCACAATTTCTACCTCCGGCAAACTCGCGTTAAAGCTCAAGCTCAATGCAAAACAAAGCAGTTTCGAATTGACGATATATTAAGTAAGCATTTTTATTTTCGTTATATTAAAACTTTGTAATCAGCTACCCCTTGCAATGCTAGTCATAAATCAAAAAATTAATAGATGCGACTCGCATTTGATTATATTTTTTTCGATAATGAATTGAGATTTGGCCTCACTATTGTAATCTGTCAAAACGGCCATCATAGCGTGCCGGTACTGTAGTACAAAGTTATTAGTAGAAGTACTGTTCTTTACGGAGTACAATTACTCTGTGGGAGAGTTGAATTCATGCCGGATATGTTGGCATGAACGTGTCTAGACATAGTTTCTATATTGTTAAATTTAAAATTTTACAACAGTAACAAAGAGAATAATTTAAAACTTTAAAACTTTTTATGCAATAAATGATCATAATAATTATGCGATTTATAGACAAGGTCATGGTGGATGGTATAAACTACGGGTACCTTACGGGTGTCACAAAGGCCCTTTTGGGCCCAATAAGGTAGAATTAGAATATTATTTTGTTTTCAATTATACCTGTGGTTTAGAGGCTTTCGTTCAAAATTTCATTAATATTATATTAAAATATGTTTAATAATAAATCTTTTACTCTTTTTTTTTAAATATTTGTAGTATCATTTGTTTCGTTTTTTAATAGAACATAACATATGGTATATACGAGTGTAGAGTTATTCTAGATCTAGGTAGAACTAATATATTTTCACGTTGTACCTAATTCAAATTCAAATTCTTTATTTGCCACGTTACAAGCTTGAACAGTAACATTTAATGTATACTAAATTTTAAGATTTGCACACACGCACACAATTAAAATTATTAATTTAATAACAATATGTTGTTATGAAATGAACTGCATAATTAATAATAGTTATTTTTGATATAAGTGCGGAAAGTTAGTCATTATTCACGAGGCTCGAGGGGTCAAGACGCGAGACAAGTGAAAATGACAAATCCGCACGTGTATCAAACGACGTTTTTTAATACATTTGCGAAAAAACTACATTGAAAGTAAAATAAAACAGTATTTAAAAAAAACTCATTTTCTGCTAGTAAATTAAAATAATGAAATACAACCACTGCAACCATTAGTTAAAAGTCTATGGAAGTATAGTTCTAACGTGCTGTTTTTGTTTATTTTCTGTAATATCGGTCTGTAACCACTTATCTTATTATGAAGTCCTGGTACTTTTGTTTAAACTTCTTTAGGAACCCGTGCACGGTAGTGAGATACAATTTATCTGTATGTAATACGTAAAACAAATATTATACATAAAAATCTCGCCTGTCGCCCATTCAGGGGTAGGCAGCGACCTCCACTCGATACGTTCATTATTCATTATATAGTATTTGTAAATAAATATAAGTTTTAATGACGAATGACTTACGTCACAAAGCACATAAATATTAAATAAATATACAACTTCTTTAGTTCTGTGCTTAAGATTTGAAACAACAGTAAATTTAAAAAAAATGGAAAAGTAAAAAGCACTAGTGCGAAAATTCCAACTTTCGGCACGATTTGTAGTGCGAAAAATACCACGTTTTGAGCAACTGTATTAAAAATTATTAATTGATACATTAAATATCATGAAATAATGAGCATTTTTTTAATGCATAAGGTCAAAATATTCGTCATCTTTATAGAATGCATTTTCAATTAATTT